GACGTAGCTTGATATGGGGGACTTACATATTTACGATTAACATCTCTATAGCGCAAGTTTGCATGTGTATATAATCAAATGCGCTTCACATCAAGTATTACGTTTACCTAATTATATAATTAGCCTATACTATTTTATCTTTCCGACAATTGTGATTTGCTTTCTTAACTGTGTTCATCCTAACCCACCCTGTCAACTTCCCCTAGGAAACCGGAGCACCAGGAGAAAACCATAGAAATAATAGATATAGAATGCGTACTTGATCACGAATCATGTCTCCACTTTTTCTCATGCGTGCCCTTATAAATCCGCCATGTTTGAATTTGACTAGGAGTGCAATATAAACAAAGCTAAAACTAATTTGTAGTTTGGGGATAGATTTTGAGTTTTTTGAAGGCACAAACTGTCAAAGCAAATGTGCAGTTACAAAAACGGTGAAAATCGTGCAGCCTTGTAAACAAAGTGTTTTCGCCGGTTTCTCGAAATTTACTCATAAAACATTTTTGCATGCTCTGAACGTCACTACTGTCACTGTTTTGCTAATATCTTATAAGATTACAAAATGATAGTTCTTTCTTCGTCGGGTTTCGTTTTTCTTTGATGTAAGCGAAGGTTTTTTATTTTTTTGAAACAAAAATATTTAGTTGTCGTTAGACTGTAAATTGTCTAAATAATCGTCGAAAACTATGGTTTCAAAAGCGTTCCCTCAACCTCAAGCAACACAGAAAAATATGAAAAGTAATTGTGTAAGTTTAAAAAGATTACTGAACTTCATTTATATTATATTATAAAAAAGTTGAAATATTTATAGAACATACCAGTATTGAGTTTGAGTTTGTCTTGATCTTTCGGGTTTTGTTTTGGCTTGCACAACAACGTTGAACTGATTTATTTTTAAACGATGATTTCTGTATATATTCTGTTCAGAACTGTTGCTTTTCGTAAAAAAGCCCACTAGAATGGGTTTTTAGACACTTTTTTCCACTTTTTTTCCCATTTTAAGTCTCGATATAAAATTTTTTTTGCAAACTTTGCATTTGAAAAAACAATTTGCACTCTCAGAGTGAAAGGCCTTGCCTGACGACCACGCCCCCAAAGCCCTAATGACAGGCGATGGATATTTTTGGCAAGTGCAGAACCGAGATCTAATACAAGCTTCGCTAAAGTTACTTGGTAAAAAATCAGAGGCAGAAATCTATTAGAATTATATTGAACAAAAACACAATTCAACTTTTTGCTTTCCAAGAAATCTTACCTTAAGACTATGGCCATGAACAAATGCCTGCGCCACGTAGGGACTTTTGATATAAATATTCTCAATCTTATCAGGAGCAACATATTCACCCTGAGTCAAAAAATGAATATAAAAACGTTATTTGGAATTTCAATATAATATACTGGGGTTCATTTTGACAAAGTATATATTGTACTAGCAGACTTATGAGAGGAAGGAAGTTCGTTTAAAAGGCACTACAGTGATTAGTATATGGCGTGTTGTGAGGAGAACAAGTATTATTTTTCACCCTGCTCGGTTTCCTTGGTTCTTATCGGGGAATATATTCAATATTCCCCTCTAATCAATTTCCGTTTAATAATCCCCTCTAATATTCACCTGCAATTAATAATCCCCTCTAATATTCACCTGCAATGTCTTTGCAGCACAAAAAATGAGAAGAAAAAAACAACATCGCGAAGGCAATGTGGCATTAAGAATTATTTCTATTCTGACTCATTAACGCGACCTCGCAATGTGAAAGTATAGGTTATTTTGAGGCAACAAGGGGCCCCCCGTTGCCTCAAAATAACCTATACATATAGTACTTGATATCTGGTCGGATATCTGATGATGCTCTTTTGAGAAACACCTTTAGCTTCAGTTAGCTTCTGTTCTATAATTTCAATTTAAGAGCGTATGATAAACAATCTTAAAATACTCATTAATAATTCATAAACCTTGTGGCAAATCATGTCAGCCATAACATGTCACGTGGAGTGAATTGTATCTGATAAAACACATGTGGCATTATATAATTGTTCATCTTAATTAGCATGATTATATTATGGTTCATCCTAATTAGTATTCTTTTGTAGTCGTATTTTAAGCTATTCAAAACACTCGTTGTCGTGTTTTATCAGATATAAAACGCGAGGCGCAGCCGAGCGTTTTATATCTGATAAAACACGACAACGAGTGTTTTAAATAGTACTTATATTACCTTTATGACCACAGAAAGAATTAACCTATCTCTATCACATATAAAGATACGACACGCGTATGATTTTTCTTTGCGTTTTCCTCATGAATTATTAACGATAAGTTCTTTGTATGTTTGCATGGCGATAAAACATAAAATAGTTTTGTTTGTGGAAATTAATAATTAATTTTTAATTTACGTGGTGTTTCCACAAACAAAACTATTATATAATTATTAATGTTGTGACAACATCCCATACAATTTTTTGTATAGTTCTTTGATGCATATTTCGTCTGCATATTACGCACCTGTGATAACTTGAAGATACATTTTTTCCTACCAATGATTTTCAATGTGCCGTTCTAAAGCAAAAATGGTAATTCAGTACCATAAATATTTAACAATTATTGAATGAGGTCGAGCAGATGAAGAATTATAAAGCGCCAAGTTTTTTTTTCTCCCAAAAACAATCTTTTAATCACTAATTTCACAATTTTCAAAACTATTATTCGAAGGGTATTCATGTAAACGTATTCAAATTTTGTATTTATAGGAATAAATCATACCGGGTTCCACTCCCCAATATCACCAGTATGAAGCCACTCATCTTTATCTATACTTCAGCTGTTTTCTCGGCTGCCTTCAGATATCCTTTGAACACATTTGGACCGTAGATACATACCTAAAACACAAAATATCCCCATATTGCGAAGTAGCATCTAAAACACTGTACATTGTTCCATGGTCCATTTGACCGTTTTAATGCTCTTAAAGTGTTTTACTGCCATAAAAATGTATAATCTGATCAGCATCAATGTATGACAGTATTGCTGAATTTACTCTCGAAAGGGAACTTATACACAATCAACAGTCCATGGTTTATAAGCAGGTGCGACCGTAGTTCATAGATTTATATTTAGCATTGTCTTTGCCTCCACTTGCGCATCTTCGTAATCTCACAGGCAGTGTTACTGTAATATCCGGGATTAACAACTACAATATATCTTTAACTCACCTTCATACTGTTGAACAAAACTTATATTGTTTTGAACATTGATGTCGTTCGCTACCAGTGGCATAGATGATTGAGACGAACAACAGTGACTCACGAGATTCCCTCTCATGTGAACACACCATTTATGGACAAAAGCGCGTGCTTCCTTCACGTCGTGTTCGCGTTTCCTTCAACCAAGTTGCGTTTTTTCTCTGAACTAATGTAACAATAATTTACTGTAACAATATGATCAATTTTTAGCCGTTCGTAGGTTAGTTCTCTAAACCACGGTTCAGTTTTGCAAAAAAGTAGAATAGCAAAAAAAATCGCCTCGTGATCAAAACGGCAAATTAAGACAAAGAGACGTTCTTCAGTTTGTACGACTATTTTTCCAAGTTTTTTTATTCAGTTATCGAAGAAAAACTCGCATTACTATCCCGAAAATTGGTAGGTTCTTTAAGGTTTATACTTTCTGGATATTTATCAGCAAATAAACTGCAATCCTTCTTGTGTGGGTAATTTCGAGCTGCGTCTTCACGTCTAATACAACACACCACAAGTTTTAGCCCAATCACATAACAAGTTCTATAAGTCAGTAATATAGCTTGTTTGCAATCACGTGACTTTTTTCTCAAATGACGGGAAATCAAACAAATTCACGGTTTTTCACGAGCATTTGCGTCATAATCAATCTCTACTGAAATTCGTTAAAAACCATACGAAAGCTATTTTTTACACAAGTTGCTATATATGACAAATAATACCAGCAAAGTGATTGAGGTTTGAAAAACAAGACTCTGGAAAGCAATAAAAGATCGATAATTTTAAGAACAACTATCATGCATCCATCAATTATTTTATATATGCTTCACGAAAATTTCGTTACGGTGTCTGAGAACGACAATAACGTCACTTATTTCCATTCTGTTTTCGCCAGGTTTATACATCATATTCATCGAGAGCGCCAAATACAGGAAGTTCAGACGTACCTTAACATTTAGTTTACGTTATCACAAAAAAACCGCAACAAGCACCAAAAACAAGGATGAAACGTTAACATACCCAACATCCAAAAACAACTTTCAAAAATGTTAAAACTTTCGCCTCGATGGGTGCTGCACCAGTACCGATAACAGAAACATTTCCACCCAGGATTGCCTGGGAAAATAAACATATACATATACATTAGATGCACCCGAGAAATCACAAGAAAAAGAAAAATTCCGCTCCGCGCGAAAAATTTGGAAAACCGGCTTTAAGTTGTAAATGTACATTTAAGGCAAAGCTAATGATCCATATCAAAACGTCATTTAGGCGCGATAATGTCGTTCGAATTAGCGTGCGCATGCAAGACTAGAGAAAAGGCTTTGCCAAACAAATATATGTGCATGCATGGTGTTTCCACAGAACAAACGAAATATAACATACAAGGATTTAGTTCATCTACCTGAACTTTTCTAAATACCAATTTGTCCCAAAAGCCGTTGTTGTATATTTGACCCCTAAAAACCAAAAATTTAATATTGTCATTAAATGGAACTCATGCAGTTCATCCAACAATTAATAAAACCGGACTTAAATTGCGAATATACAGATATATTGGATTTAATTATGCATGATTGTACTGTAAATAGTCGAAAAGAATTAAAATGTTCCTTCCATTAACTCAAAATACGATTAAAGCTTTTAGATTTCGTGCGCAAGCCATTTTGGTTTGTTGGAAAAGAAACACCCCTCCCCTGGTTTACACAATTTGAGTTCGAGTATTTTTTTCCATTATTCTACATTATAGGTACTCAACAAATCTATATGTAGCAAAAAGGTGATACCACGAGCTGTTTTGCGAAATTGAGAGCAATTTCAAATCTGTTCAGTACTCACTTTTCGAGGTCAGCCATTTTTGAGGCAAAAGCCTTGTTGAATAACCACTTCTTTAAACCCCACTTGACTCCACACCTGCGGTAACCTGTATGAACAATAATTAGATAATTGCTCAATTTTTCTATTTCAAACTAAAATATATAATAGAAAAGAAATTCCAAAACTGGGAGACATAAAGCAAGCATGGCTTTTCAACGCGAGATCACGCCGTATTTATAGATGAACCCGTGCGTGGAAAATATTTGACTTTCTGGAATCTAATTAAACAACTGCTTTAGGTTGATCTGTATACTGTTAGGTTGACCTGCATGTACTATTAGGGTAGCCTGTACAGTAAAGAAGCACTATATGAAGCACTAGTTGGTGTGGTTCAGGATAAAATTTGTTCATTTTAGGTGCAATTGGTTCACTGTTTACCCACCTGACCAATAATAAAGTTAGATAAATCTACCTGAGAAAGGGGCAAAGGTTTACTTTAAATTCATCTTTCTATAAATATCGTAATGTCTTACAGTATTATAGTTTTTTCTTTCTGCTGACCAAACAAAAAGTTTCTGGGACCAATGGTCCGCTATTTTTTACGGCCATGGATGAACAACATGCACCAACCTTATCATAAATACGATTCAACAAGCGAGGCACTGAAGGAAAGAACGTAGGTCTGTAAAAAGAATCAAATAGTAAATGTAAGCATTGAGGCTTGCAGCACTACCATTGCATTGAATACAGCTATTTCAATTAAGGTTGTCCCCGAGCAAAGTGGAAAAGTCGAATATGAGCGCGAAAGGCTGCTGGGAATCGCTAAAAAATTCATTAAAAATGTTAGCGATTCCCAGCAAGCCTTTCGTGCTCGTATTCGACTTTTCCGCTTTGCTCGGGGAAAACCTTAATTGAAATAGCTGTATACAAAAGATGGTTTTTCATGAACACGACTAACACGGAAGCCGAAAGATAAGGAAGATACTTCAGTCTCTACGCTTCAAGCAAAAAGACTGATATAAATGCATGAAACTAAAACTACAAAAGCATGCATTCAAATGAAAAAAATTCTCTTATAACTTTTATCCACAGGAAAACAACAAGAAAGCTTTGAACTACATCTGGATGTAATTTCAAGGCGTAATGTGTATTATTAATGGCGAGGAAAATGCACTGGCAAGGAGATGACGTGTGAACACATTCCGCACATAATTTCCTGGAAAAAAATGACCTCACGAACAAAAACAGGTAAATTCACGTTTTAAATTATGATCGGAAATTTTTTTGTCAAAATTAACTTTCACTGACAGTTGTTTGTATTGAATCTCTTGGTTATTTGGATTCGATAAGTCAATGAATGCCATTTGCTTTGTGAATTTGACAACTTTGTCATGATTAAAATGTTCGAAATTTTTGTCCAGAGACCAAGCGTCTTTTTGGCAATATTTTAAGCTTAAGCTTCATGGTTGTTTTCTAATTCTATAGGATCTATTTTGCAGTAAAATTTAATCTTTTCATTGATATTCCATTTGTATACACTATTTTGTATTTTAACTCTTTTTACTGAATCTTTTTACTCTTAAAATTGCTTTTCAATTTTATTACTTTTATCTTTTTGAACACTCCTATATAGGCTTGTTTTATTAAATATATAAACGTTTCAGATGCAAAATATTTTTGTGCAGGTACAGTATATAGTAGTATGGGTTGACAAATGTTCTCATGAGGTAAAATTCCATGCTAGGAACTGGAAATACCTACTTGAAAATTACAGCCTGCTTTTGGTAAAATTTCTACAAACTTTCATTGACCTAATGTCTTTGTGTATATTCTCCTACCTAATTGTCTAGGTCTGTACCTATAATAGCCCACCGGGCACACGACGTTGTTTCAACGTTGAAATTTGCTGGAGAAAAGGTTGCGACGTCGACAACCTAATATCTGCGTTGCTCTGACGTTGATTTACAAACATTGGTTCAACAGCAACCAACAGACGTTGAATCAACGTTCATTCATGGTTTGTGAACCAACTCAACGTTGTTTCAACGTTGATTCAACGTTGAATTATGGTTGACGAAATTGGCAACCTAATTTCAACGTTGTTTCAACGTCGAAACAGTAACGTCGAAATGCCTGAACTGTCTATTAGTGTTTGTTTTTTTGGTTGCATGAGCTCGGTACAAAAATATAACTTAAATAGGATGGGTTAGGTCTGGCAAGATATACATCTGGTAATTGATATGCCAGAAAATGTTATTTTTATAATGTCAACATAAATATACAGCTTCCACAGTGTTTTCACAGTAATATACAGTTGCTATAGTATTCAATTAATTGTGTTGCCAGTATAGGCAGATGATAAGAACACTACCACCCATACCCAAGGCCAAGGCACAGATGATAGATTATACCAGATGAATCACTGTGTATCTATCTCTATGATTTTCGTGTCCGCGATTTTGGCGAAGCTATCACGCCAGATGACGCGTGCGACACTTACTGCCAAAATGGCGCTTACTGCCAAAATGCGTGATTGCTCACGTTTCATGGCGTGGATTACACTTACTGCCAAAATGGCGGCCAACGCGTGCTCATAAAAAATCGCGGACACAATTTTGGCTGAGTGATTCATCTGGTATTATCTATCATCTGTGGCCAAGGTCTTGCCATCATTTAATTAAAACAAGGACTTTGCAGATAATACAAGCAGGTACTTTATATAAATAAACTTGCATTATATGAGGCAAAAGCCCCCAAGACTTGAATTTTCAGCAACAAAAAGACAATATAGGTAGACAACCTAAATTTGCACCCCTGCATGCTGTTCCACCATGTACTGTATCCCCACTGACTCTGCATGAGACCACACATAAATCAACTGTTTGTTGGCATTGTTCAAATGTCCAAATAGAAATGTGCCTTTATACACAACTTGAAGCATAATAAGTAAATATATTTTATTGCAATCAAACAAGAAAAAGGTTCAGCTAATGAAGCATAAAATACTACCTACATTTCATGCTGTAGTACATCTGCAATAAAGATTAACTGATCAAGCAATTTCCCACTTTGTAATTATTAATAAATATGTTTCAAAACTCATTAATAATTCATGAAGCAATTATCCAATCTTATTTTTAAAATTACTTCGCCAATGAACTCATAAGATGAGTCGTTTTTTTCGGCTCGAGTTTGTATATCTGATACAACACGGCCGCTCATGTTGTAAATAGTACATAAAAACCCCAACACCCGTCTTTCCGCATCCATATTTTAGCCTCTTTCTTTAAATAGTACTTATTTACAATAAAAAACCATGAAATAAAGAGAGCATTTTTACTATTAAATATTCTTACTATGGCTATAGTCAAGTTATTCAGATCGAGTAGATTTAAGCTTAAAATATTGCCAAAAAGACGCTCGGTCTCTGGACAAATATTTCGAACATTTTAATCATGACAAAGTTGTCAAATTCACAAAGCTTAAAATGGCATTCATAGACTTATCGAATCCAAATAACTAAGAGATTCAATACAAACAGCTGTCAGTGAAAATCAATTTTGACAAACAAATTTCCGATCATAATTTAAAACGTGAATTTACCTGTTTTTGTTCGTGAGGTCAGTTTTTTGCAAGAAATTATTTGCGAAATGTGTTCACATGTCATCTCCTTGCCAGTGCATTTTCCTCGCCATTAACACACATTACGCCTTGAAATTACATCCAGATGCAGTTCAGAGCTTTCTTGTTGTTTTCCTGTGGATAAATGTTATCGATGGATGCAAAAAGTGGTTCATGTTCATTTCATGTTCAAAACAAATCACTCGCTCCTACAGTCGCCAAGCCGTTCGACTGCAAAGTGACGACTCCTACCGTCATGCATAGCGGGCATCGTTAAAAGGCAAGTGGCCCATAGTCGTGGCTCGCTTTTTCATGGGTGGAACTGGAACTAGCCGAGCGGAATTAGTAGCCGAGCGAAATTAGTACCCTCGCCCTGGGCTATCGTTCTGGAATTATACCTGGGCGATTCTTTCATACATGTGTGGCAGAGGTAAATAGGAGATATGAACATCACTTGAGGAAAATGGACGGCCATTCTAAAAAAAGTAGATTATTGTTAAAGGTAAATATCGAAAGTAGGAAAATGACATAACAAATCAGACTGCACAATCAGATCACAGACTGAATTTAGTTGACATTGAGTTAGAATTTGTTTAGACATATCTCCCCGATTTCTATTTCCATATTACAGAACACTTGTATTAAAAACTCTGCTTCAATATCTTTCAAAAACAAAATTAAATCTACTAAAGTTTATCCAGTCGCAGTGCTTGATCAAGCTTCATCCAGTCGTATAAGTCGCTCAAACTTCATCCAACCCGAGGACTTGATCAAACTTCAACCAATCCCAGAACTTGATAAAACTAAACCAAACTTAATCCAGTCCTATATAGGACTTGAACAAACTTCATGTATAGTTCTACTATTTGATCAAACTTCATCCAGTCATATAGGACTGGATCAAACTTGATCTAGTACGTTTTGGTATTTGATCAAACTTGATCCACTCTTTGGAGTTGATCAAGCTTAATCCAGTCTCAGAACTTGCTCAAACTTCATCCAGTCCTAAGAATTGATCAAACTTCATCCAATCCCAGACTTAAACAAACCCTTAAGAGAGTTTACACTATCTCAAACTTATTAATAATCATGAGTAAATTAGCAAACCATATTGCTTTATTTTGCTCACTTGATAATACTGGATACCTGATGAAGTATATTGATCCTGTCCTAGGATGCAGGATCAAAATATTCAGTCCTTGGACTGGATCAATGTTAATTAAGTATTTATTTACTTATTTAGCTTTGCCAACTAGGGCAGGGTCACCACAACAGCATATGTCAATTACTGTGGGCCCTTTTACCTAACCCACCCTATCAACTTTCCCTGTGGGAGGAAACCGGAGTACCCGGAGGAAACCCACGACTTTCGCCAGAGCGTGGACTGTTACTCTTTTCACATGAGGACTGGGCTCGAGTCGCATTGAGAAAGTTCTCACTGAGGCTTGAACCTGCGGCTTAAGGCCGTTTTCCACTAGGCGGAATTTTCCGTGCGGAGCGGGATTTTTCTTTGTCTTGTTATTTCTCAGGTGGGACTAATTAGAAAAGACAAAGAGAAATTCCGCTCCGCGAAATTCTGTCTAGTGGAAAACGGCCTTTAGAGGTGAAAGGCAAGTGCGCTATATATAGTGATTTATTCGTATGAGATGTCATTTCAAATCCGACTATGCCGGACTATAGCTAGCTGGAGTAGATTTCAAGTCCTCGGCTTCACCTCGGACGTGATCAAATTGCGCGGACTTGAAATCTAGTCCAGTCCAGCATAGAGTAGTCGGATTTGAAATATTACATCAAAGTTTTTTGCATAAGCAAGTTCTAAGCTCTGAAGGATTTGTAAGAAATGTTTGAGGAAACTGGTTCAGTGTTCAACACTATAAGTCAGTTTCCCTAAACATTTCTTACAAATGCTTCGAATTTACTTCAGAAACAAACAAACGCAGTTTAATTTATTGATATTGTCTCAAAAAGAAATTATGGCATAGTGCATGGATTCAAGTCATTCTTACCTGTTCAAAATGTCGGCGAAACGCAGCAATATTTGCCGCGATATTCCTGTTTGTGATCATAGCTCCCTTCGGTAGACCTGTGAAACAGTAATATTGAAAGGATCATGCTAAAGAAAGAGGCCAAAATATGGATGCGGAAAGACGGGTGTTGGGGTTTTTATAATGTGTATATGATATATATTATAATATAGCATTTGTAAATTCTGAACACTGATTGGCTAAGAGACGTGTTGATATAACTCAATGTCAACACGGACACGTCGGAAAATTTCTTTCTTTATGTTTCTTTGTGCTATATTATAAAACAAATATAAAACTTTTTTCCGTATTGATATACAGTTATATCAACACTCGTGGAAATTGGGGAAACTCGAAATTGTGTGAAAACACTCCGCCCTTCGGGCGTCGTGTTTCCACACAATTTCTCGTTTTCCCAATTTCCACTCATGTTGATATAACTGTATATCAACACGGAAAATGTTTTATATTTGTTAAATATATCATGTTTCCCAGATGATAGTTCTGAAATAAAAAGACCGGTGGCCAATGTTATTAATAAAGTTGTACACGCCAAAGTTTTGTTCACGTTTTATCCTTTGGCATAAGTGTAGAAACCTATTATCAAAACCTAAAAAATTGTCATGTTTTCGTGCCAAACCATTCAGGAATGCGACTACTTTCCTACCAAGATTTTGTTCGCATCTCACTCGATTGATCAATAATAGTTGAAGTGTCTTGTGGATGGAAATTGTCGAGAGGAAATTTATATACAATTATTAGACCTAACCAGCTAGGAATAGTTGAAAAATGCAACTGTATGCGCAATTACAGATTTAGTGAGACGGATATGTGTAAAATTATTGATCAGTAGTTCCCGTCGAGGTTAAAAGCATCAAACTTTTACAATTGATGTAGTTTTATTTGCTTAATAGATATTTGAAGTGGGGCCATCGGTATTTTGCTGCTAACTCCTGAAAACGGGTGATTAGTGATTTTCTTCTATTGAATTCTATTATAGCCAAAACATGTGAAATTTTGTATTCAATTACAACAAATATGACTTGCATCATCAGAAAGCTTATAAAAAACTGCATATAAGACATTTAGACAGTTTTTTGATTTCTGAAATAGTTTTCGAATTATAAACTGTTAAAAACGCATTTTCAAACATCGAATAATTAATTAGGGACTTTTAGCGAGATAATGTGCCTAATTTACAGCAATAACCATTTGAAGAATCAAAAAACTGTTTAAAAGTCTTTTATGTAGTTTTTTACAAGCTTTCTGATGATGCAAGTTATATTTGTCGCGATTGAATTCAAAATTTCACATTTTTTGTTGTAGTAGAATTTAATAGCAAATAATGCTAATAGCATCGTAACTCTCTAAAAAAAACCAGTTTCACGATGGCCCCACTTTTGCATGTTGTTCTACTCATAAAAAGATGCTACTGTGCACAATTTGGTGCTTTTAACCCTCTTCGGAAACATCCATGCACATATCCGCCACACTAATTCCTGCAACTAAAATGCAACAATAGATTCCTGCCAGCTTTTTCGCAGCTGTTCCTGGTTAAGTCTAGTAAATGTGTATAAATTTCCACTCGACAATTTCCATGCACAAGATACTTCAACTACTTTCCCACGCCCATTATTGTTATCCTGTGAAACTGTTTTAGCTATATGTGAATATGACTTCTCGCAGACCAATCAGACGTCGCCATTCCCACGATGTCGACCGCATTCCAAAATGTTTTGACGCAAAAACATCACAAGAAGGATACGCGGTTTTGGTAATAGTGAATGCAATTTTACATGTACTGTATTATACTATATGTTATACTTGGAAATAGCTAAACTAGAAGTTACTATCGCAAGGAAAGTGCTGCCTCATGCCCAAGGGATCAAAGGCAGCATGCGCAATTTTCTGAATAAGGGGCTGTTTTTATGATCTCGCTTTGTCAGGACGAGATATGAGGCGGGAAAGGCGCGATGATTTCGATGTATTGAAATAAGCTAACGGTGCACAATTCAGCAAAAAACTTCATTATTTTCTAGAGATAGATTTATACCCGGCGTACTTAATCGATAAAAACCGATCATCGAAAATTCAATCGATCAATCGATGGTAATCGATGTTAATTACTTAATTGATATCAATTCACATTGATCAACCGATGACCAATCGATAGTCACAAAAAATTATAGCCAATTTTATCGATTATTGTCGATATTCATCGATTTTCATCGATATTTACCGATTTTTATCGACAAAATGCTTTCGATTTTTATCGATTTATATCCTAAATAATCGCCGCGCGTCGACGTGTTCGAGCTAAATCTGTTCTTATTTTTTGAATGTACACATGATCTTCTCTACAATATTTAAGTTCTGTTAACAAGCATTTAAACTTTTGTTTAACCTGGTGACTTATTTCAATACATCAAAAATCATCCCACCTTCCATCATGTAAACAGCCCAGGAAGTAGGAAAAGTGCAATTTGAATACCAAACACCTTGCACAAGGTCAAAGGTCAGCTAAATATTATAATTCTACTTTCTTGGCATGGACAGTTTTACATATATCAATACCTTCAATGTTATAAGTTCTTGCTTTTGTATTTATAATTATAATACTGTCAGTGGTGTAGTTAGCCCACTGATCTATGATCTATTTGATCAGTGAGCTAGCCATACCAACAGGTCATGCTGCAGTATGCAAGTTTTTCATGATTTGCATTATTCAACTATTTGAATATTTTGTATTTGTAATTATGATACTGTCAGTGGTGAAGCTAGCCCACTGATCTATTAAATCAGTGAGCTAGCCATACCAACAGGTCATGCCACAGTATGCAAGTTTTTAATGATTTGCATTATTCAAATAGATCCAGGTTTATAGCTGTGCCATGACCAGTTGCCATGACCAGTTGCCATTGTAGCTAGCTTGCCACTGAATACTGTACAACATCATATTATATATAAACAATAATAATACTTGACTGAATCATTGGACATGTAGAATTTAATAACAATTTCATATACAGAAATATTAAGCCAGGTTTTGACCCAACTATTGTTTTAATGGCACCTTAAAGGATTAGTGTCAGGGTCATCTATTGCGGGCTTTTGTTATTGTTTACATATTACTTAAATACAACAAATAGTGATAAAAATACCTTGTTTGGTACATTTCTGATAAAAATCACACAAAAAGAGCAAGTATTATAAAAGAGTGGTTTAAATATATGACAAATTGTAAAAAACGTCCCAGATCATCAACCTATTCGTCCCGAAAAATGGCTGCCAGCAGGAGTTTGAGCCCACAAATTCCCGGTGTGACACTAATCCTTTAAAAGTAATCTGCGATCAGGCCTATAAATAAATAAATAGGCCTGATACAAACCTTAACAAAAGATCATGCCTTACAATCGTATTTCGGGTGTAAACCTGATTGGTCTATGAGACAAAAAGATTTTTTAATCTGTCATTTGATTGGTGGTGCTAATTATATTAGATTATAAAATAAATTGTTGTTTATAGTGATCACAACTATAATTAGATTGTTGTTGTCCTTGTGTGAAATTTTAATTTTTCCTGCGACATTTTGATTGTATAATAAATATAAACTTCGCTGCACATGGGTGGAAAACTATTGGATTAAGGTTTGTGTCAGGGTAAATTTGAGAAATAGAGCCTGATCTCTGGTTACCCTCAAAGCTACCCACACTACCACAGGAAGCAATGTTGTATTGGGGGGCTGATTAGTCTGGGGAGATTATTACTAGTTCACAAATTAACGCCACTTTAATTGTTCATGTCAATATTAAACATTGTGGACATTTGTTTATAAAAATATAGCAATTAGCGTCTTTGTGTTTTTGTACATTAAGTGTTTTTGTACATATGTCGAGTTATTCATCTAGTTTAACCCAATCCATGTACCTTGACATGGCAATCGGACAATAATTAACCGAATTTGTAACACAAAAATTCATCGAAAAGATCAATATAACATTCACATAATGTCCATGTTTCGAAACATTTGTCTCTTGTTTCCTTAAGCTCCCTGTTCTCAACGTTTAACCCAAAGACAAGAATTCTTTGTTTAAAATCAGATATCAAAAAATGAATATATATAATTATAAACTTAAAACCCTTCAGATACCTGCTCTTTATGTGCACTAATACCAGCTAAAAACAGTGAAAGCTTATTCTCATGAGTTCCAAAAAACATGTTATAAGATTCCTGGACCGAAACACAAGGCAATAAGTTTCGAATGGTGAAAATATTTCGAATTTTGTCCCAGTCTTTTGTCTATAAATGAGGAACCAATTATCACAGATTTATTCTTGTTTTTTCGTGTTAAGCCACGCGCTGCCTAGTTTTATTCAAATTATCACTAATATGCAAGCGAATCTTATTGTTTCCTTGTCATTTTACATTGTTGACTCCGAGCTGAAGGTTGTCACAAAGAAAGAGAAAAACTAAAATCGAGTTTCGATTGCAAAAACGATGGAAAAGAACGGCAAAGAACACGGAACAAGCATGCAACGTTCGTACTTTGTCATGAAAGTACTTTTGCTTGTTTTGTGTCTGGTTGTCGTTGTTCAATTTGTCGTAATTGCGAAGGGCTTCTCGTCTTTAAACAACAGGTTAGATGCTATGGAAGAAGAAAAGACTCTGGGCTCTAAATCTTTGACAAGCGAGAAACACGAATACAGCACAACGCGGGTCAAACGTAGCACGGACGACACAGATATTAAGAAGGCATTGATAAAGTTGGAAAAAAGGTATATAGGCCCTATAGGAGACTTTTATATATATGATTGAATTGGATGAAAAATCGCAAAATTATCCAGCGATAAAAGTTCGTGTGAAATGGTCAGTTGGAGCGTTTTATTGCCAGAAATACTGTGCTATGTTAACATCTAGCCTTGTGAATGGTGTTTTATACTTGCATCTCTC